CCGTCTCTCGGCTGCCACCTCCTGGGTAGGCTCCTTACAGCACAGTCCCGCCGCCCCCTCCTTTATTTCATGACAATCCATCAGTTCCTGTTTTCATAGTACACAGCAGGCTGAGATTCTCTTGAGAACAGAGCAGAATGGAAGATCAAAATCAGGAAAGGAAACTCTTAAAATTAAGCAATGCTGGTATATGGACGTTCTGCCAGACAAAGGGATGGATCAGTGTATTCAAATGCTGCCAGCCAAGACCAAGACATCTTCTCAGAAGGACAAATGCTCACTCTGAAGACATGTACTTCCCTTCCACAAACACCCCTCATCTGGCAGACGTCTACAGGAATCATACGATGGCCCTCTGGTCTGCAGCATCTGTTCCTCGGAACATCTGTCTGCACCTGGAGCCACCACCTCAGCAGCACGCTGTGACACAGCTGGAATAGCCACGGAGCGGTGCGATTCCCCTCCCCTATAGCCAAGGCAGAGAAACAGCTGGACTCACCCCAGAAAGCTAGGACTGCATTGTATATTGATCTGCAGCTGCCTATCATCCCACTCACGGACCTTACCAGAACACAAGGTAGCCCTCATCATGCAGCAGCCTAGTCCTGCATGTGTGGAAACCAGGACATGTGCAGCCACATCTTTCCCTGACACGCAGTCAGACACAGCTGGGATTCATCCCCTGGCTTGGAAATTTGGAAGCACTTCTGGGTTGCTCCAGACATAGCCTTAAGCAGCTATCTTAGAACAGAGTAATTTGCCCTCTTACGATAACGTTGCCCTATCAGAGAGTAGCCCTACAGAGGGAGCCGGAACACGGAGCTCAGAGTATGGACTTAAATTTCAGTGAGATACATTTTACCTCTAATTATGCACATCATCCCTCCTAGGGGCATTTCCATTTCGCTTTTAGATGCCAGCTGAAGAACCCAAAGTTACACAAGACTGATACATCATTGTTCCAGAACAAAGCAGTACTTGCCTCATGCACAGCTAGGGACACAAAATGACATTTCATTGTTTTGACCATGGCAGCGTACACACATTGTAACACTCAGCTGTGACTCAGTACAACATCTCTTCCATTCATTGTTCCTGGTCACTGTGGGGAAGTACACAATTATTCTTTCTCTTCTTTTCTGCACCCTCCTTCCCAGCTGTATTGCTGATGGGGAAGGTGCACTTAAGGTCACCCTGGAGAAATCTTCCAGGAGACTGCAGCACTGGAGAGGCACTAGTGCAATACAGGAACTGCCCCTGGATCATAGGGCCCCAAGTACAATTTAACTGTTCTAAATACCACTATTTTTCTGTATCAGAGCACAGCACCAGCATGTTTTACTTCATTCATAAACCATCCACTACAAGGCAAGCTAGCCATTTATTTTTGTGAAATTAATACACTAATTAGTTGCATGGTAACAGCAAACATGAACATGGAAAAAAAGAACACCAAAAATGGGAAAGTTTGTGTATTTCTTTCTTTTCTAAAAACAAAAAGAATTATTTGACAGAGGAAGTGATCTATACTCAGGATTCTGTACAGTTCCCGGTAAAAATGATATTCAAATAGCAGAGGGCTTCTCTCCAACCTCCCAAGCAAAGGAAAATTCAACCTTGAACTTGCTCAGCTCTGCCTAGATAGTAGGGTCCACACGGTTGGAGGCAGCGCAAGGAGCAGCTGCTGTTTTGCAGAGGAAGGACTTGCTAACTTCCACTGAGGGAAGTGCATTAGTAATTTAACAAGCACAGTTTAACCATGCTTCTGCCTGAAGTTGTATGTTTCATTGGGGTTTACTTAATCCAGATACAGTAACCATCTCTAAGTATAAAACTGATTGAGATCACGGGGGAAAAAAAGATCATCGCCTATTTTCCTCATTTTATTTTGTGCAGCTAGCAGCTGTTTGTACATTTTTACTGCAGACACGATGAAATGGATTACACAGCTGAGGCTTAAGTCTTGTGTGATGCAATGATATATAAACTTGAGCAAATAATTTTACTTTTCTTTACCTCATTTCTCTTCCTTTATATCTATCTTGTCTACATTGATAATGATGACCAGATAAAACTGCCTCTCAGTGTTAGTAAAAATGCCATACACAATGGGAATTTTAACTCTTAGCATCTAAACACTATCATGGCACAGTACAATAATATAAATAAAATGATCTCACTCAGATGAGCAGCCCATTGTTTCCAGTGGAAGCACAGGCATACTATGTCAGTCTTTTCCTCTTTTAACTAGGTTTCAGAACAGTAACAAGACAAAAACTGTATTAAAATCATAAATGTGAATATAAATGCATATATAAACTGCAAAAAGTTCAATAGACTCACTCTCCTTTGAAAAACTAATCCATTTCGATGACTTTGAATCCTAACATGTCTAAAGTCAAACTACTAAGACTAATTAGATGTATAGTTTTCTATTTGTAATAATAGCTGGCTTTTTTTTTCCTGCAGCACCATACAATTACACAGCCAAAAAAGCTCTTTCAAAATTGATCATGTCTAAACATCATTAAGTAGTTACAGGTTTGTGTGTTATTGCTAATGCAAGTTTGTTGCTGGTAGAGTATTAGATCTAACTTTGAATCAAGGTCTGTCTGTATTTTTTTAATGCAATGGACTTGTAATATCAGCTGCACAGTAAAAATGTTTCTGTGAGACAGAGCTACTGCAATGTAACTACTAAAAAGTTAATAACTCTGGGGTATAGTTTATATTTTCTTCTCTGTCTGTACCAAAATGTTTAATATACTTCAAGTAGCTTTCATGTTACAAGAATGTCAAAATAGCATAAAGCTTGCAAACTGATTCTGCAGTCATATAAAATTAAACTACTCAAGACTTTTTTTTAAGATTAAAAAAAAATCCAATTGTCCTGTTATGATCTCTCATGCAGACAGTGAACACAGACTACTAATGTAAAGGCATTAAAGCAGTATATATCACAGAGGACTAAACACCTTGCAACCAAGAATTTTATGGAAGATTGTTTTAAAAACTGACTCCATGTTGAAATGCACAAAGAGACAATTTCAAAAGAGAGTCAAGAACACTTAAAAAGCCTAATTAGTACTCATTCATTTCATTCAGTTCTAATTAAATTATTCAGATTGAAATGTCTATTACAACTGCTTAAAAACATATAGATTCTCTGTAAAAACAACTCAAAGCTAAACCAGTATGTTCATTAGGAACAGTAACACTTTATTTTTAAAAGAGTACAGTTATTTTTCTGAATTTGCCCAAAAGCATTCCTTGTTTTCTTTCCAAGAATATTCATCCTCATAAATCTCCTGCAAATATAAACAAAGAATGGGAAATATTGTGGGAGTCTGCTACATACACCCACAAGCCAGGCCAAACAACTCAACAGCCATCCTGCTATTATTTACTGATCACAACAGGACTACACAGCACTTGGCTGGCAAACAGAAAAAAGGGCAGCACCCTTAGAACATACTGACTTACATGTGGGCAGATGCTGAACCTCAGGCCGAGCCCCATTAAATCTGGAAGGGCCCAAATATACTTAAGTCAATTCAAGAAAGAGATCTACAAGAAATGATGTAAAAGCTGTAGTGTGCACAGCACTCGTGTAAAACGGCCCTTTTTACATGTTGCCATGTTAACTTACTCTAATTTTTAGAAGAGCATTTAAGTGTATACAAAATGTCAATATTAAAAAAATAAAAATTACAACAAAACATGAAATACAGTAAGTATTAGATCTTCAGGACAGACTGGACTACCCAGCAGCAAATTCAGCGGGGCTCTGAGCCCCTGATTGTTCTTTCCCAAGACCACAGAACTCCAGTGTCCTGAAAGAGGTGTCAGAAAAGTGGAGTAATGCAGAGAACATCACTGTTACCACATGCCACGTTCTGCCTGGGAGAGAAGGCAGAGGTAATGCTCATTACTTGCATGCAATACTGTGGTTATGCAATGAGGCACTTCCTAGACCTGGGTTGGTCTCTCCACACATTGTTGTGTCCCCATACTAGCTTTGGGACCTCTGCTGATCCCTTCATTGTGTGCTGTTGCTTAATGCTTTGTGTTTTCTCAAGGCCACAGGGATGAGGGGAATACAGAAAGACAAGAAATGCCACTTTTACTTGCAAACTGCAACGCTGTCCAAAGCAAAGCTGACTCAAAGTTCTTCCACAAGCCTGTGCAGAACTGAGTTTTGCCATTCAGAAGAGGAGAGCTCAGGGCTCCTTCACTTTGATCCTAGGATGGCGTTAAAAGGAAAAGGAGCTGGATGCTACAGGCAAGGGAGGGCCTTCCAGGTGCCCTATCTGCCACGGATGGGCCTGGCTGCATTAGAGGAAACTGATGCTAGACATTGGCATCCCGTCAGGAGCAACTGCTGCCTGTAATGCTTCCGCTGCTTCCCTTAAGAGCAGCAGCAGCCTTTAGCCCAGCTGTGTAAGACCCTGGCACAGGTCGAAAATCAAATTTGTCCCCAAACATACCTTTTTCCATATTGGGACGGATGCTTTCAAGGTATTGATGCAGTACATTACAGCTTCAAGGGATTCTGCTCTGTGTGGAGAGGACACTGCAATAATTACACTTGCTTCAGTTATTGGAACCACGCTAGGGAGAGAAGAGGAACAACAGCAACTTTAGCTAATGCTTAACATCAAGAGCACCCAAAAGTTGTGGCCATGTCACGTCAGTATTCTGGCCACACGCTCTCCTGACTCACTCATACTGAGTAAGTGTCAAGCCATGTCCAAAAGATTATACACTTCTTAAAAGAAAGAAAACCACAACCAAAATCAGTACCAGATGTCAGAATCCCACGCTTTAGAATAAATAAACCCACCAGACATAGGCTTTTTTCTTCCATTCTTTCTTTTTTTTAAATAAAGTCTATAGAATTAAGAGGGGAAAATTGCTAACTTGCAACAATGCATAGGAAATTCACTGGAAGCAGGCTTAATAATGAACAATAACAAGTTAGGAACAGCCAGTTCTTATCTGAAAACCTAAGAAATCATCTCAGTTTGCACAAGAATTTGTGAAAGAAGAAATTAAGTGCCTCAAACTATGCAGATTTTGCAATGAAACTTAATTTTTGACAAATGCAGATTTCAAATTACGAAGTTTTTCCTGTTTGGTGTGGTGTTTTCCAAACTTAACAGAAGTAGCAAAAGTTTTATGTTGCTCCTCACAAGGGTAGTATTCCCAAAAGCTGCCTCCCAACCCTTCCTCTATAGTAAGACTCCTCTGGCAAACAGTTCATAGGAAAAATCTAAGCTTAAATGCTTTGAGCTGCCCACAAGAGAATCACTCTCTCTATTGACTATACAGGAAATCTAAGGAAACTACCCCTCAGAGCTAGTATTACCCTTTGTGATCACCTCCTAAGTTCCTTCTGCTGAAAGAAAAGGAAACAAGCATTTGCAACAGACTCTGCAAATCCTGCTAGCTTCAGTGAGAAATCTGATGAACAGTGAAGGCTCAAGAGTATGTCAGACACTAGTATTCCACGTTTTGAACCCAACAGAAAATGCTTACCCAAGACTCAAGGAACAACAGGAGGTTCTCCAGCAAGCACGGCTGGCAATTACCATGCCCCTCCCCTCCCCACAGTCTAAGCTTTCAGGTTCCCTATGGCGTAATTTGACTTAAATCTGACAATAAGAACATTCTGCAGCACCTCAATGAAAAGAAGAAGGAAAAAGAAAGTGCTGCCGACTTCACATCATTAAAAAAAAAGACAAAACAAACCAACAGCCTCCCTCTTCCTGGAATGAAATCTCAATCCCTTCTCCCCACTTTCAAACCAGCATCAAGGACCCTGCAGGCTAAAAGTGGACTATAGGCAAACACTACCAATACATTTTTGAAAAGACAATTTTCAAAACTTAGCTCTAGAACAGGAGCTTGATCCTGCAGCCAGCTTTGCTGCATGACAGTTTATAAAGACTCCTGCACGTCCTGCAACTATATATGCACAGCCATGCACCAGACAAGGATTAATACTGCACCTGCAGAAGGATGGGGTCTGGCCATACATACCCAAGTCTATGGTGCACTGCAATATGTTTGACTGATGGCCATTTCTGTCTAACATCTCTGCAGATTTTCTTTATTTCGGTCTCTGCCATCGAAGTATATGCTTCATATTCTAAGTGAATCACTTTTTTGCCTTCAAAATTATTTCTTGTGGTACCTAAACACAAATGATTTATCAACCAGAAGCACTGAGTAAATAAATATACATCATATATTTATAATGTAATATATATTATATATTTATTATATAATAATACATTATACATAAATACTGAGTAAAACCCAGGATTTCCTGCTATGGTCAAAGCCAGCACTGCACAAATATAAACAACCTCCCCTAATCATGGCTGTGTAAAGAGATTCTTTGAACAAGAGAAATCTTTAATATACAAGGAAGAATTTAATTTACACATTATACAAGTCTGCAGGCTCTAATGCCCAAGGCTGGGACATCTTCTGTGGTAACTCCTAAGGTGCTATTATTGCATTTGCCCATGCAATGTTTAAGTGCTCAGTGTTTAGAAGCCCAGTAGCATTGAGGCTTAAGCACAAAAGGGTTTCAAGATCTGTACCATGTACATTAGGCAACAGGACAGAGCTATCAGCCTTGACCTTCAACAGCCCATGGGTAAAATAGTACTTTACTTTCAACCAAGATCTGAGTTGCAGAAGCTTTCATGCAGCTGTGGACCTGTGGTTTGCATAGCCACAACATCCCACTTCCCACCTTGAACAAGGTGTGTCCGAGGGGATGGGAGAAGAGCTCCCAAGCAGTCCTGTACTCCAGAGCTGCTGTTCTGTTCAGCCCCAGGATAGCCACACCAGCAGGGAAGCAACTCACCACTTTGTCCCAGTGCAACTGCTTAAGAGCTGCCATGGTCTTGTTCTAAATAATTCAGAACGTGTTTTCCAAACATCCTGGGTTCAGTCCAGGAATTTATTTATTTGAGAAGCACGAGTTTGGGGCGTGGACAATCTAGGTTCCATTTATTCGACTATTAACACACCCAGAGATACAGGTCAGAAATACTAAACTCACCAATGAACAGAGACACTGCCCCACAGTATGGTGAAATGACCAGCTCTGACACTTCATCTACAGAGAGCTTTTCAGACTTGAGCTTGATAAAATCTTTTGGCACATCTTCGCTTTCATCCATAGTTGACTAGAAAAGCTGAAACCAAACAGACTGGTTGTTGGTTTTGGCGACACTAGCATTGGCCAACTGCTTTTCATCCAGTGCTGATGCTCCAATTTATGCATAAAACATGCATCATCTACTTCCTCACCCCAAGAGACCAGACTCCATGGCAAATTCACATCTCAGCAGACTTGCTGAGAGAATATTAACTGCAATATCAAGCAATGACCTGGTTTTTAATGCATACAGGTTACTTCCCGGTAGGAAAGTCTGGTCCAGTAGGACGAAACTAGAACTGGTGTGAGGTCCCAGTTTAACAGTACCGTCAACCAGCATGGACCACTGTGCTAGTACATCTGCGGTCAGATTGTTAGCCCCTTCTCCCTATCTCACCCTGAAATCAAACACAGTTTAAAACAGAGATTTCTGATAAACACGGATTAGAGTTCTAATCCTAAAGTTTAATATGCTCTCGAGGAAATTCAGGACCTTATACTATCGGCCTGTTTCAGTGACACAGGAGACACTTCTAATTTCTCTGAGTAGAAACCACTCATCAGTTCACCTAAGAATGAGGAGGAAAAGAAGTACTTTGAGCAGCAGCAATGGAACAAGCTGCAGTAAATACATGGACTGGCACTTGAAAGCATGCAAAGAAATGAAGCTATTCTAAGGACACCTGTTCCCTTGATTACAACAAACAAACAAACAAACAAACAAAAAAGTTTTTTTTAAGCAGCAGTCAATTCTTTTTCTGTATCATCTTCTCTGCTAAAAAGTGGCAGGAGATTTTTCATTATTTTTAAGCAAGCTGGGTATCCACTGGCAGCCAGAAACACCTATGAAAGAATAACAAGACGTAAAACCCAAATTCAAAACAATGCCTGACCTGTCTGGCAGTTTTCTTCCATTCACTGCATGTATGTTAATCATTTATTGGTGCACCAGCTTACAGTTTCTGGTCAGCTGGTTCTCTCCAGCAGGAAATGCAAGTTATGGTCTCTCAAAAGAGTACCGGGGTGGAGGAACAGAAGTGCAAACACATCTCTGGACCTGAACAAAAAAAGATTATTGGAACATTATACAGAATCCACGAGATATGTTAGCATGGGATGACACTCCATAGGAAACTAAGCAAGAAGTAATACCTACCGAACAGAACTGGGGCAGATTCAGCCTCCACTAATTGGTGGGATGATGGCAACCTCGTCTCCGGACTGCAGGACCAGGAGCTGATCTCCAAGAAGCACGTACTCCTGCCGAACAGCAAAAACCACTTGATCCCGGATGACAGCAAGCCTGAGGGGGATTGGCAGGAGCACAAATAGGTTTCTAAATAGAATGTTTGCATTTAACCATGCGATTTCATTAAACAACAAACTGGTGCACAGTCTAGGCAGCTGAGGTGAATACCACTGAGACTTATGCAACTCTGCTTCCAATACACTTTCAAAAATACAACAAACGCCGACCTCCTACTCTTGGATTTTCTCATGGTGACTAAGGAGAAACCAACTCAGTATAATTCTCAGAAGTCAGGAATTGGATTTGTCATAGGCCTACATCAGAACAAACCAATGTATACCAGACCCACTTCAGCAGCTTCTAACAAAGAAGTAGGTAACTCAAGAGGTAGCAACCATCCAACCATTCAGGATTAGAAGGAAATGTTCCCCTGATTCAGTCTGGCTGGACTGGGGCAATTTTCTTACATGGCAAGAAGCACTGCAAGATGCTATTCGCGAGATCTCATCAAGATTCAGCGGTCAAAGAGCTGCTCTTGTTGTGTAACCTCACAGTTTATGAGGTTTTGGGTCTTTTGTACTTATAGGTCTGAAATTAGCTATTGATAAGGAGTGGCAACAGAGCTAAGAGGGCAGATATGTGAGTTTTCTGGCAGATCTTCTATGTATTTTTTGATTTCACATCTGTGAGATGTTGCTGTGAGAGTCCACAGCTCTGGATACCATGAGGCAGGGAGTCACTTTCATGACTAAATGCAATCACACAGTGAGTATAAGCGAGTATCAACACCAGTAAGTTACCAGAAAAAGAGTGCCAACGTTTTACTTTAGAAGGTGCAGGCATGATAACTGTTATTGTTTGAGACTACAAAATCTGACACAGACAGCAGAGAGCTGTATTGCCTAGAAACAAGTATGCAAGCCAAAAGGGTACAAGCAAAAATCATCTTATTTCCTACCAGCCAGATAGACAAAAGTAGGCAAGGCACAGGCTGAGAAAAACACAGTAGCACTGACTCAGAGGGCAGACTGAAGGGAGGGACTGTATGAAAGTAAAGCAAGCCACTGAGGAACTGAGCGCAACTATGGAACTGAAGTGCCCATTAGAAGGATGGGCTCTAATTAATGTCACTTGCAAGTTAATTCACTGGGGAAAATGGGTGGAACAGAAGAGCATTGTCAAGTATGCTTAAGCTGCAGTTGGAATATCCATTAGCAATGTGAATAGAAGTCTGTGGTCAATGCCCTACAATTATGTTGAGTTTTTCCAGAAAAGCTAGGAGCAGAAGCATTTTCCAAGAAGGCTGCTGTGAAGTAACTGCACATGCAAAATATACTGCCCCAAGTCATCATTCATAAAAGGACAAAGTTGACAAACTATGGCAAACCAACCAAAGGTGCTGCTGCTGCTTCTGACACCGAATAATAGGCTGCAAAGTAAAATACACTCATTCCCTACTGCCTCCTCCTCCCCCAAAACACACTTAGTCTCAATTCTCTGTGAGGAAAAGGCCCCGGTCTAACATTTGGTTAGAGCTTCTCATTTGAAAACAGACGCCATTGCTAAACAGTTAATGTTTTTCATAGCCTTTGAGAGTAGATCTAATAAAGAAGGGTGGTGCGTAAAGGAAGACTTTGGCACTGAAGTCCAAAGTTATGGAAATTCCAGTGCATTCAGCACTAAATCCTGAGGACCTCAACTCTTTTATACCTTACTTTTTGGTTTTTTCTCCACTTCCCCCTCCCAAATGGTATCGCATCTTTGTCTATCAGACTTATTCTTGACAGGACTGAGCACCTTCCCTCAGTCTTAACCTGAGGGGGGATTTCTGCTGACACTCCCAAAGAGCACTAGTGCCACAGGGATTCCTTACCACGCACACCTAGCGCTCTCTCAGGACCAAACTCCCTATGAAATGCAACCAGCAGTGTGGGGTTTTTTTTTTCAAAGCAGAGGAGGTTGAAAGTGGCTGACCCTATTTCCTATGTAAGGGTGGCTGGAACCCTGTGGCAGGGTTTCAGCTCCCTTCCTGACCCACTTTCCAGAGTGTGCCATAAGCTCAGACCAACGGCTAACAGTACAGTTCAAGATAAGTGATCCAAAACACCTGCACATTATCATGAATTTCTTATTTACTGCCCTGGCTGTGCTTGCTCCCTCCTTGAGACATCTCACCTTCTCCACAGGTTAATAACACAGCTCAGTTTTCACATGCAACGGAGTTACCGCACCATGGCCCTCCTGGACAACGGGCCACAGGTCTTACAGTACCCCTCAGGCGCAACTCTTGGGTACATTCATTGGACATAGTCTTTCATTGCGTATGCATAAAGCTATAGCATTTCCAATTGGCCAAAACACAAAACGCTTGCTGCAGGTTACAAGAACAAGGTAATGTCACTGTTTTTATGGTATTAAAGTACTGACATGTGTTCCAGCTCAACTCTAAACGCTGAATTTGTATTTACCAAAAAGCCCCCAAGTCCCCCAAGTTAATCTTTGTGCACCTCACCAGCAACTTTCCCGAGTACCTTGGGTGAACCTTGACGATCTCCTCCCAGAGCTGCAGAGAGGTGATCTGCCGCGGCACAGAGAGCGTCTCGCAGCGCAGCCCCGCCAGCTCCGCGCTCCTAGCGAAATACAGCACCGAGACCTGCTCGGGGAACAAACGCCGGTCAGGGGAGCGGGGCCTACTGAAAAAAACACCGCTGCTGCACATTAATTTCTCCGCAAATACCAAAACAAACAACCGAAACCAAACCAGCGGGAGGAAAAGCTCTCCCTGCCTTTTTTTAACGCCGATAAGCTCTGTCGCGCTCCTCCTGTCCCGGCTGTCACAAGGAGAGCAGGGAAGGGCGGGGGGGGG